TATTCTATTCTATTCTATTCTATTCTATTCTATTCTATTCTATTCTATTCTATTCTATTCTATTCTATTCTATTCTATTCTAGACGTGCAGACAAGAAAACCCAAGTTCTTAAACTAGCGTTTTCTGAAAATTTCTTTCAGATACAGAAAAAAGTAATTTATTTGCAAAGAGAGGGAAAATAGATGAAAACGAAGAGGATCTTCCCAGCAGCTCTGCAAAACATTCGAGTGGCTGTCAGTCTTTCTCGACCCAAAACAGCTCCCATTTGTTATACCGCAAGTCTCGCCTTAGAAAAACTTAATTCAGGAGGAATTCTTCACACCTGTCCCTGTCCTGAGTCTCTGAAAACAAGTACAGTATCTTCTTGGAAGGTAGCGTGTGGTAAATCTCTGACAGTGACCTCCTGATCTAAGCCCAAATCTTGAACATTAATACAGTGAACCAGTAATGAAAATTCTAAATACATTTTATTCGTTTTTGTAAGAGTTCACAACTGCTGTTTGAAGTTTGTAGAAGACTTAACTGACATTTCCATTATGTCAGAATACAAATGAGGTAATTCATTTACTTATAACTTTCAGGATTTAAAATGCACATTTCACTGAGGATTAACTCCAAGAAAGACATTAATCTGGATTTAACAACTTAAATTACCTTCTGTTTTGACCATTTAAAATTGATAATTTTGTTTTCTACTAATCCAAGAAAACTTTTGCTTCATCTAAAGATAACTTTTAACTTTTTAGATTTTATATTTTCAACAATAGTAAGTCAACAATTGCATGCTTATTCATTTCTCCTTTCCAGAATTCTATGGAAGAATATTGGTGCTATCTTAAAACTATCTTAATAGATGATAGGTTTCAATTTGCCCATAATAGCATATCATCAATCCCAAAATGGAATATATAGATATGGCCTGAACATCTCTACTTTTTTTCTGGAGGGGCTGGGCGGATCTCAAGATTCTCCACGTAATGATACATGGAATTTTGATGTATGCTGTGCACATCTTTAGGAGATGAAAAGTAGCTTAGGAGAGAGAATGAAAACAATAGCACTGTTTTTAGACACAAAGAATTTGAACAATCTTCTTACTAAATCAGATTGTATATATATTTGTGGAGAAATCCGAATCAACACTGCAGAAGCTTCGTACTCAAAAGGGATTATGGCTTCTGCAAAAGCGTTACCATGGGATCGGGAGAATCATTGTTACTTTCAAATTCTAGCTAAGCTCTTCATATCCCAAAGCATCATTGTCAATCCATATTTGTGTAAGAGGAGTATCAGTGCAATACTGGAATATAAAATAAGCTTTATGCAGTCAATAATAAAATCTTCAAACTGATTTTGACACATTGTCTTCAGCAGGGGTGGGATTCAAATTGCTTAACAACCAGTTCTGTGGGCGTGGCCTAATTTGTGGGTGTGGTGTCAATGTTTTCCTTTCCTTTCTGTTATGTACAGAAATGTGCTTCTCTTTTACTGCTCTTTTCAAATTAGCCCTCCCCTGATTCCTACACCTGCATTTAATTCAGGTAAACCCAAAAGTCAATACTTCTTTCCTAAATTGTCAAAATGGAAAGTGCTCCAAAGGGATCGTGGACCACTCAGGAGGGTGATATTAGGAATTCATAAACATAATTATCTTGCTCTCATAAAAGATGGGGACTTAACAAACTATTTAAGCAATGCATGATTAACTGCATAGCACCAAAAGGCAGATGAGTTACTCCTTGAGACCAACAGTGATACAAGCAAAAATCAGTCTTGTTAGGAAAGGCTGTCTAATAAAAACATACCCAGGTCTTCTCTTATTATAAAATCATCCTGGACAGCTGTGGAACTTCTTCCCCTCCCTCTTTTGGGAAGATTTACAAACAACATCCAGCCAGGTTTGCCCTGCAGCCTCGCCCATCCCCGCTGGCAGCTCCTGCCTGGGTTTGGCTTTACCTTGCCCAACTTTCCTCCTTCTGCAGCTGGTGGCAGAGGGAAAGGCCAGCCCCCTCAGTTCCAGCAATGCCCTGTGTGCCGAGTCCCGATCTGGGGCTCTCCATACATGGGGTGGTGGTGGCGGGGTGGCACTCCAGTTGTTTTCATCGGCGAGAGGGGCTGCAGAGCCTCTCGCGCTGATGGGAAGGCTCTTGCCGAGAAGGCAAGCGGTGGTGGTGCATCCTGGAACTTCCCAGCGGTGGGGAGTTTTCTTGGGTGGCTTCAGTAGTGGCAACTGCTGTGGCAAAAAGTGGGGGGGGGAAGGTGAGTGGCGGGGATGGTAGTGTGCCCTGGAACTGCGCTGACGATGGGGAATTTCCTTGGGCAGCTCGGCGGCAGCAGACCATACCAGGGCAGCAATGGCAGGGTGTTCCCCGGGGGGGCATTCCGTCAGCTGGATCCAACCACAGCAGCACCAGGGGGATGGCCCCCAACCAGGGGGATGGCCCCACCCTGGCCCCGTGGCAGCTTCTTCCTGGCCAGGGGGAGAACGTTCCCTTCTCCCCCAGCCAGCATGGACATGGCCCTGTGGCTTCTTCCTGGCCAGAACATTCCCCTTTCCCCAGCCAGTACAGACATGGCCCCGTGGCTTCTTCCTGGCCTGGGGGAGGAGACCATTCCCTCCTCTTCCAGGCCAGCATGGACACAACCATTTGGTGGGGGAGCAGCTAACTAGCTAGGTCACGGTGAAGCAAGCCAGGTAAGGGTGGGTGGCGAGACAGCGCAGTGACCTAGGCCAGCCTGGGAGTTGACTCAACCGGGGCTTGCTTGTAGGCTCACTCACCGAGGGAGATCAGGGCCGCAGTGGAAGGCAGGCAGCAATGGCAGGCAGTGGCAGGTTAAGAATGGCAGGAGAGATGAGGATTGACTGGGCGAGGCAAGTGGGCAGGCAGGAAAGGGCGGGGCCAGCCAGTGGCACAATTTACCAGTTCTCCAAACTGTGCATACTCATAACAACCAGTTCTATAGAACCAGTCCGAACCGGTAGAATCATTCTTCAGGGGCTCCAGTAATTCAGAATGTGTGCATGTGCATACACAGTCATGCATAATTTTGTATTTAGTCATGTTTATGTAGCGTATTATTAGAGGTGGTGACCCTTTGAGAGCTTTATGCAACAAAATTTCATTTTAATGTATGCCAATTACTGTACATTCAAAGTGACAATAAAGTTATTCTAAGTCTAGTCTAAAGTGGGAGACAGCAAGTTCTAGTCCCACCTTAGCCATGAAAGCCAGCTGGATGACCTTGGAGCCAATCATCACTCTCAGCCCTGCACATCTCATTGGATTGTTGTGGAGAAAATAGGATGATGATGATGTGTTGGATATGTTTGCTGCCTTATTTGTAAAAACAACAAAGGCAGTATACAAACGAACGGTTTGGGGATGCTTTGCTGCATAAGGGCCCAGCAGCCCACTATTATAAAATGCCCTATGAATTCATTGTACCAGAGAGTACTTCAAGATAATATGAGATCAAGTGAAAAGACTGAAGCTCAATTAAAAGTGGACCTTACAAACATGACATTGATCCTAAATGTTCCAGTATATTCACAAAAAATAGCTAAGGGGGGAGAAAATTCTGGAATGGACAAGTCAAAACCTCATACAACTGGAAAAAAAAATCTGCATGGAGGAATGGAAAAATTTAGTCCCAATTGATATCAAAGACTTCTGCCCCAAGTAATGCAGTGATTTATGAATTCTAGCCTAGAACGCATGAAGAAAATTAATGTCCGTGTCCTCCAGTTCCCCTTCCACCCAAGATGCATGCACACCTGCTCCTTTGCTCACTTTAGTTCTCCACCAAAAGTAGCAGAACCAAAACAAGCTGTGAGATAGAAATGAGAGCTATACCCCATGTCTATTCTAGTGTGGTGGTTATGTTTCACTGTACTATAATAAAGTGCTATGGGTCTCCTCCAAACTTTCTCCAGACATTAACAGCTGAGTCTGCAGTCTTCAGGATCCTGTATGTCTCAGTCTACTGAAAAAGAGTCAAATAGACTACTTTAAACAGTCATATATCCAAGTCAAACACTTCATAAAAAGTCTTCAAACAGCTACCAAATATTCCCAGGCATGTATTTATATAATTTATTCTAGGAAACTACTAAAAATGTCACTGGAGATTAGTTGGTGCAAAGGACAGCAACCTTTCACAGTATTGAGAGAAATATGTAATAAAATTGATTCTGAAAAGAGACAAATAATTATTCACAAAGTAGAAACAGAAAGTGTTTCTATAGTATTTAATCTATGACAACCATTAATGTAAGTTTTAAATAGAAAACTACACAATACATGACACCTGAAAAGAGATAAAATTAAAAATGGCTCATTTTGCCAATTCTTTGGAGCACCAAAATAAATTTATTGGTAATAAACTTTCAGCACCAATTTTTTTTAGAAAAGATGTTCATTCTTGTTCTTCCAGAAAACATCCATCTTGTGCTGTCCAAAATATTTGATATTTTCTATTTCCCACTTTATTAGCTTTAGAAATAACTCAAGACAGTGAACAAACCTAACATTTCTCCCTCCTATTTTCCCACAACAGCCCTGTGACATGGTTTGAGAAAGAATGGCTGGTCCAAAGTCACTCAGTTGCCTTTTATGCCTAAGACAGGACTATCACTCATGGTTTTCCAATTTCTAGTTTTTTTAGATAGGAACCCATCCTGTATGATACAAAAATTGTGGTAACCTTCTGATAGTCAATTTAGATTTAAATAGCTTTTTCAAGATTTAAATAGTACATCCAAGCACAAGTTTTGCATACCCTATTTCCATTCCACTTTCTTTCCTTCTTATTGCTTCCAGAAGAAAGCTATTTGGTTTTAGAATCTAGATTTGCTTATATATACCAAGCTGCATTTGAATTAAATGAATAATAAAATAAAAACACTGAAGGAATCCAGTATAATATGTAACATTTTTCTGCTAAAATCTATTATTCAAGCAGCACATTTAGTTTTATAAACCTTGTCATTTCACCAGTGAAATAACTTAAAAAATGACTAAAATATGTAGAAACAGTTCAACTACATGGGAGAATTAATTCAACATATTAAACAACTTTGATCAACTTTGAATACTATTTACTGGCAATCTCTGTTTGTATGTGTGTGTATATATATAGAGAGAGCACATTTGTTATTTTAAATTTCACATTAGAATAAGATGAGCAAAAAGGAATTCAAGTTTAAAAGCATAATTACACCATTCACACAATTTATTTGGTCAGCTTCTTCAAACGACCCCTACAACAAAACTTAATTCTAATTAGTTTCTAAGTTTAATATTTGCTTAACTTCTTCAATCATATGAAAGTTTCTTCATTTGTCTAAAACATTTCAAGCTTTTGGAATATAACTGAATTTCATAGTGATTTTGAACTTCTGAAAACTAAGTAACTTTGAAGAAGCAGACTTCTTTTTTTCATCATGCCATGTAACATTATAGCACATAGGAAATATGCCTTTCTGGACATCCAACAATTTTAATATTGGCAATAAAGAATTGTAACTATTAAAAAAACATCTTTCAGTGAAATTGGGGCAGAGCCCCTTCTTGTATTTATTTGCAGAAGTTCTTGTATTCACAACAGAAGTTGTGAAAGTCTAGCTGCTTCATATCTGAGCCTTGGGGGTGAAAGACATACAACGCTAACTCCTTGCACATAGACAATGTCAGTAGTGTAATGAAAAGCTGCCGTATCGGTTATGTTTCTGACAACGTGCCCTCATTTTCATTCTTACTGCAGAAATCACTAAGTGTGCATACTTTGCAAACTGTAGTTGGGTTGCATCAGCAAAGCTGAAATGTAAAGTAAATCTCTGTCCTGTTTCTACAAGCACAGGAATCGAGAAGATTTAGATTAAAACAAAAAGCCTTAATGAAATGCAAATTACTCCTAATCTACAATTCTAGTTGCAGTTGAATTTTGTCATGTCTTATCTTTACTAAGGAAAGATCTCATATATTACAAACATGAAGCAAAGAAAATTATAAACAAGAAAATATACTTAACATGAGTTTCAGCCAAGTGAATGTTGATTGTATTACAATTAAAATTCTGCTGTGAAGTTCAGAATAAAAAACAAATAGACTCCAGCAAATTATTAAATAAAAGATTAAGGAGGAAAATAAATACTGGCATCTTTGGAAATCTAAACTCCTTCAACAATTCTTTTTGCATATTTAAATGCCATTAAATATTTTATGAGTAAATATACAGCTTAAATTTGGTAATAAAAATCTAGTGCTTAAAACCAAGAGAGGAGGTATAGCATTTCATAAATTCCAAAGTTGGAAGCTTTCTTTCTCGTGTCATGAGTAGCATTTTCATTAACATTTAGCTCTTTTCAGAGACTTCATCTTGAATAATTCCTGACTCTTGCTGCTTGCACGGGGAGGCAACTGTCACCTCGGTTGCCTCATGCAGCAGTTTGGCCCCTTTTCGTTGTGGCAAGATAGTAAAAAAGGCTTCTTCCCAGTTCTTCTTTTCCAGATATGCCAAGATGATTTCAAATACTATGAGAAAAAAGGGAAATACTTGATAAGAACATTAAATAATAAAAAGGTAATAAAACTATTAGAAGCTTCTGCAGTAACCACGAAACAATCTTATTTTGTACATATTATTTAACTTATATATTGTTACTAATAATTATTAAATAGAAATGGAATCAGCATGCAATTGTTCTTAAGGGAGAAGTAACTATTTTTTAATGTTTTTCTCCCTAAATTCTATAATATGACAAACAGTTTAAATCATACATCTATAAAGAGAATTGATGTTTAAAAGCAAAGATGGAAACATAGTTCTAAAAGGGATATATTGCAATTAATATAGGCTGCAAATAAAAAAAAAGATTCATCAAAATCAATTCCTTTTTTAAAAATCTAACAACTTGTAGCTTGTGTGTTAGGGGGAATTGAGAAAACAGGTTACTCTGGAGATCTGTTTGTGTTATGATCACTATAGCTAATGGATAGCTGAGGACAGGGAAGCCCACTGAACTATTTCTATGAGTATGTAAATAAAAATAAGATCATAACTGCTTCAAGCATTTTCCTGATTTCTACTCAGTCAGCAAAATATCTATAGTATCAAAACTTTTTTCTGTTATGTTGTACTGCCTTTTTTCCTGGTTGGGGAATACTTCGTAGCTTCCTTGTCCCAGTTATCTTTACTGTGATTTGAATTGTTTACTAACAGTTGCACTAAACATGAAGGAGCAACTAGGAAAATATGTTAAGTCAGAACTCTACAGGTTTGAATTGTGAATAAAATTCATTCATTCATTAAGTAACTCAGTGGTAACCCAGTGGATATTTAATCTATTACACTGATAATACACAAATATTAGATAACCATTCTCTATAATTTTGAGAACTAGACACTGTCTGCTGGAGAAATTAAGTGCTTGTCAAAATACTCAGTATCTAGCAAAAATCACAACTAGAAATGGTAATTGCTTCTGACATTATAAAGCATAAATAGCTCATTTACAAAATGTAGACTCAAAAATAAAGGAAAAAAATAAAACATTTTCTTACCATGATTGACTGCCAGAACTTTTCTGCTGTTCATTTTCACAAAGTTTCCTAGGGGGAGCTGTGCATGGCTGATACCTTGTTCTTTTGCTCTTTTGTATGTAATTCCCTGTAAGCAAAATAAAATGTCTATTTGTTATTAATTTACATTGCCTGAGATTATCAGGTAATTTATTTGTACTGAATTCACTTTACTTTTGCATAATAAAATATATGCATTACACATATAGCCTTACAGCATGATTTAAAGATGTTTCATATCATAGAGCACTGATTTATAAAAGGTACCAATTATTAAGCTATTATATATAACTTAAAATGCTGAGAACTTCACTTTTATCTTTATGGCTTGTATACAAAGTTAGTCAATTAACTGATTATGTATTCACCAAAATAAAGTTTCTTTATTAACTGAACCAGTTATCAGAGCCAATATGGAGAGAAACCGCTCAAAAGATTAATTAAAATCCTGGCTTTTTTTCTTAAATTGTGCACAAATTTGTTGTGTTTGTCAAATCTACTCTATGCTGTCATCTCATTTCCCCAGAAATTGGACTCACATTTTCAATAATATTCCAAAAATGTGCATATTAACAAATAACAGCTGGTGAATCTAAAGAAATATTATCCCTAGACTGTGACTTGGAAGGCAGATCAGAAACCCATAAAAATTATACAAGCTTTTTAAAGAAACAGTAAGATGATGACAAATGATAACAGACATACCAACCATTCAACAGCTTGCTGTATTTACACGTTCTACAGATTTTCCTGTAAACTTATGCTTATGTATGCTATAAACGGTTTTATTAGATACTTTTATTAGACATTAAATTCCTTTGGCATTTATTTTTAACGTTAGCAATACAATAAGCATTATTAAAATAACAGAATGTGCACTGGATGAAATACGCATCGCACAAATGCACTGCTGATATCCTGTATTTGTGTTACAGAGCACAGATGCATTATGACAATATGCCGTCCTATGGCAATAAAGATTTGTAGTGTGACAATATCTACAAAATTTTCATTTACTACATATGGAATGGTATGGATCCTCTTACTTGAGTGAATAGTTCCTGCTGGTGATCTTGGAGACATCAGCACTTGAGCCCCTGAGAAGTCAGTGCAGGTGGCTCAGGGTTGTCTTTTTATGTACACTGAGAACATATGCACCAAAAGCAAATTCCTTGTGTGTCCAATCACACTTGGCCAATAAAGAATTTTATTCTATTCAGAGGTCTCCTCCATATTATTTAAAGGTTCATGAAAATACTAGTGAGATTGTTCGGAAGTTTGGGCTAAGATATCACTAATATGCTCCTGACATGCCCACCCCAGCTTTAATTAGAGATGCCATAGAACTCCGAGTGCCTGGCAATTGTGAGAATCTGGATGGGGGAAAACGATCTCATTTTAAATCCCAACAAGCTGGAACTGCTGGTTTGTCAATAATTCAGGTAGGCACAGTGGATAGGACTATATTCCCTGAAGGACTTTGCTGTGACCTCAAGCTTTACCTCCAGGACAAAGGGATGGAAACCATGGCCAGAAAGCCTTCACCCAACCCCATCAGACATGCCACTGTAGTCCCACTTGAACAAAAATGCCCTTGATAAATGGAACCCATGCTCTGATTTGGTTGGCCTACTGCAATGTGCCCCATATAAGGTAGTCTTTGAAAACGGTCAAGAAACTATAGCTAGTAGATAATGTAGTGGCTCCTAACAGGTTTGGATAGCATCCATTTTGAACTCACACTGGTTATTTGTAGGTTTTCAGGCCCAATTCAAAATGCTTTGGAATCTCTTTATAATTATTAATGCAGCTCCAGGATATATTGGGCATGTAAAAAAACCTGAGCCCATCTATTTTGCCTATAACTAAAAGAAGGCCTACCACTTATTAGGTGCATGGGACGTGTTCTAGACAACAGGCTTCCTTGATGGTAGCCCCAAGTTTACGCTTCCCCAGAAGCACTAATGGCCCCAACTCTGCTGGCATATGGTGAATAAGTTAAAGTAGTTTAATTCTAATGAATAGTCAGCCCATAGATCAGTTTCAAAAACATCTATGAGATTTATTAATAGCTGTCAAATATATAACATATAAAAGTCCAACTTATCCAGTTATGTTTTTTATTTTTACATTTGACTTTGTCTACCCTAACTATGGTGCAGGGTATAAATATAGAACAATACTGTATGTCCCACCATGATCAGTACTGAGGATGTTGTAAGCTGTAGTTCAACATGTGGACTGTCACAAATTCTCCAAACTGAATATAATACTACATTCATAAAAATCCCATTTAATTGTCCATTAATTTTAACTTTAGTTCAATACGATTTTTTTCAAGTATGCATGCACAATATTAACCATCTACCTTGTGATGATTGTGATCAACCAAGCCTCCAATAACATAGGCTTTTGATTCATCTAATTCACTCAAGACATCTGGAGAATCCGAAGTAAGGTAAACAAGATCTTCCTTTTTCACCAACTCACTATAATGCTCTGATTTAATCTGAATATCCTTCAAGACACAAACACAAATCCAAATAAATTATCTGAAAACTAAAGATTTTTCACTAGTTTGAGTATATATTCTATGCCTGCACTAAGAAAACTATGAAACTATCAGTAAAGGGTTAACAATGCAATGAAACAGTATTACAATTTTATCATTTATCTGAAAAGATTAATATATATACTATATATAGAATATTGGAAAGATTATAGCTAAAAGGAAGAAGGCACTTACTTGTAAGTCATTCAGCCGTCATAAAATATAGGTAATGTCTGACTTATGAACATAATTGAGCCCAAAATTTCTGTGGCTAAGCAAGACAGTGAAGTGCATTTTGCCACATTTTATTACCTATTTTGCCACTGCTGTTGTGAATCACTGCAGTTAAGTTAGTAACATGGTTGTTAAATGAATCTGATTTCATCACTGACTGTCTGTCAGAAGGTCTCAAAGGGTGATGACATGACCTTGGGGACATTGCAATCTCACAATACATGCCAGTTGCTAAGCGTTTGAATTTTGATCATATGATCTTAGGGAAGCTGGAAATGGTCATAAATGTGAAAAACAGTCATAAGTCACTATTTTCAGTGCCATTGTAACTTCAAATTTTTACTAAATGAACTGTTGTAAATTGAGGACTACTTGTATCAATAATTTCATTTTACTGAAGGCAAAATCCAGCAATCTGACAATTGATAATGTTGAGACAGTCCCTGTCAAATTCATGCATTTCTAAGAAATCGATTGTTTTTATTGTAATAATTAAAATTATATACTTAAATTGCTAGCACCTTCCAATTTATCCATCCTTTGTCTGTTTCATTCATGTTGTCCTTCAGCTGGCCTCCATGACTGGCCAAGTAAAACTAGGGAATAAAAATGTATGCAACATTCATTGATAATTTTAAAGATTATACAACCAAATACTATTTTCCATTTCATATTTTACACATTTTAGCTTCACCTCAAGCAGGATAATAACTTAAGAGCTGGAAGTTCAAAGGGGTATTTTTGGTACACTGTAGGTGATTCTGATGTGTTACATAAAGACCCAAATAATGTGAAGCAAAAATTAGATAGACTATAGATGAAATAAAAAGTATGGAACCATATAAACATTGTCAACAGGGAAGAGAATTGAAAAATTGATGTTATAGTAAATATGCTATATCTGTAAGGGATCCCCAAGAAAAAGGATCTGAAAACCAGTGTGAATAGTACAAACTTTATTAAACTTTATTACTCTGTTAAACTTAGCATACATGCAATGCTCGTGACAACAGATATGTATGCTGGGTTCTGCCATGGAACATCCCTACCAAGAATTAATTTATAAAGTTTTTTATAAGCATCATGGCATTCACTAATCTCACGTGCAATACAAATTGTCAAGTACAACTTGGTGGGGGAAAAAACCAAGCTTCTCAGGGGAATGCCTTTTCCATGAAATCTGCAGTGTATCTGTAAGAGGTGTCACATCATTTCTGTGCCTAGATATCGGCTGTGCCATGCTGCACAGTTGCTATATTAAAGTTCATACAGTGGCTAAATATGGTTTAGTGAATACGTGAAGATGTCTTGTCACAAAGAGGGAATGAATGAAGATGGAATCTAAAAACAAATATATGAAGGAAGAATGAATAGCTTGAAAGGAGAAGACTCAGAAAGTTGTGGCTGGATGCAGCTGACAAGGACCTCAGAAAGATGTTTAAAGAACAAAAGGCAATGTCTGAGTTGGTGTAAGAATGTGGTGGAGGTTTGCAAGGATAACTTGCAAGCAGTAGAAAGATATGGAGAGATATATTGAATGGATTGCTAGCCAGAGTTTATATTCTTTTTCTTATCTTAATGCATTAACATAGTTTCCTTAATAACTTCTTGCTCCTTTTCTATGTATGTGTGCATTGTTACCTAAGACATTTCTAGACCAATATCTAGAAATCTTTAAATTATTTTTATGTATGCTAAAAATGCAAGTATAAGCATTATGTTATGTTAAAATATCTTTCATATGTATTGCATAACATTAAGAAAGTCATCAAAGAAGAATATTTGGAGGTTACTTAGACTGACATACCTGAACAGGATGAAGTGCTTTACGATTTTCTGCATAACACCTCTGAATTTGCTTGTGAAGTTTCTTGACATCCTGTATATAATACAATTTGTTTTTATACTGTTCTTCAGAGAAAGCACCACAAAATGCTTTAACCAAGAGTTTCAGAGAGACGCTAAAGAGAAAGAAAGGAAGCTTTTAACCAACAGAAATTACTTCTAAAACATGCACCTGAAGAAAGCATACTAAAAGTATAGAGGTTTTCTGAGTTATCACTCTTTCTTTTTACTAGCTCATCACTCTAAAAATCATCCAGATGAAGCCAACAACCTGATTAAAGAAGTCTGGGCAGCAATGCTGTATACATGACCAAGTGTGTTATGGCTTCGAAATGATAATATTGATGCATAATTCTTTCTGGGACTTGTCTAATTTTAAATTCAATTTATTAGTAAAATGTAATAAAAGTATGCAATTAAAAATGAAAATTAATATTTCTAAAATTAAACTATTTAAGCAATTTATAATCTACACCAATTTTTCTAAATCTATTTAGAATATTGGTAATGTTTGTCAAGTAACACTAACATATGAGAACCAGTTTGGTGACATGGTTAAGGAATCAGGCTAGAAAACAGAGACCATGCGTTCTAGCTGGGCAAGAGCAAGACATTTTCAAAAACCTTAAGGCAACTTTAGGGATTAATCCAGGTAGTTGTGAAGAATCAGTGCTGACTTAAAGACATACACACAAAAACGTACCCTACGTTTTCTACTAAGTTAAACCTTACATCTTTGATCCTGTTCATTCATTAATTCTACATTAATTTCTCAAGTTTTTAACATTTTCCAAAAAATTATTTTGAATGACTTCAGTTCATATGTTAATTTCCATTGCTAAGCAATGTGGTCACAAAGTGCAATGTCACATGACTGCATCTCTTAGAGACAGCAATCTTACAGGCCTTATTATCAGTGTTAAGCGAGGGTCATTGATCATTAAATGAGAACATCTCATTTTCATATTCTCATGATTGCAACAAGCCTCCCCTAAAGTCAGTGTAGAAGCCGGCAGGAAGTCTCAAGTCCCCAGGGGCTTTCAGGAAGGAGGGTGAGTATTACAGAGTGAGGCAAGATGGAAGGGTACTGCAATAAAAGCTTATGGGATGGGGATGAGCTGCTGCTGAAAAGTGCAAACCAGCTGGGGATGGGGTGCTGCTGCCAGGCATGAGTGTGCATGGCCTTGGGATAGGCTGATGTAGCAAGATGTGAGGGCATGTTGGGTAGGGAGGAGAGCTTCTGTGACTGCGTGTAGGTTGGGAAGAGTGTGTTGCAAGGTGTGAACATGTGGCAGCTGAAGAGAGGTTGCTGATGCAAAGCACAAATGAATGTGAGCTGGAGAGAGGAAGGGATGCTGGTGCAAGGTCCAAGTGCCTGAGGGTGGGGAGAGGGTGTTGCTGCAAGGTGCAAGTGTGGTTGGTTGAAGGGAGGGTTTAGGTCTGACCTCACACTGAAAAAGCATGAGCTCTGTAGCAGAGTTCCTTAGGGGGGAAAAGTGGTGGGAACAATTTACAAGCTTCCCTGCCATCTTAAAGCATCACTGTATTTTCAAACAGACACAGTCCTGCAATCATTAACTGTAGATTACCTATATCTTGGGAATTTTGGAGAACTACAAAATCTAAATGATTGCAATGAGTTGACAATGACTTAATATAATCCATCCATCAAGACACTTAGAATTGCTTCTTAAATATCATTTCCATTTACCTTTAATTCCATTAAATTGTCAAAACTGCAGTCTATTATAAGACGAAGTGCACTAGGAACAATATCCCTACGCATATGTTTCCTGACACTTCCTTCACCGTTTGATTCCAGCTGAGATTGGCGCTCCATTTTTCTTTTCAAGCGTTTTTCTTTACGTTTTTGTCTGAAATGGAAACAAACATTACTCAGTGGTACAACATTGGCTATTATCTGATTATTATGTTCTTCCATATCGTTGTTTTAAAGATAGAGATAATTCTTGATTTATCTGCTAAAGTATGTGCTTTTAAATGCTGGATGCTGGAATATGAGTCTCAACCAGAATAGGTGTTTCAAAGATAATGAATAATGAGTCATAAAGAGACAAATCATGTTTGAAATGTAGAAAGGAAGACCAGAAGAAAACAAAAAGATTTGTAGGTATTTATATATATCCTATTATTTCATTTGTCGAATAAGAGACCGCTTATACAGTATGAAATCAGATAGGTCATAAGAGTTTCCTAGAAGTCTTTCATCACGCAGGATGAGAGAGATTACACATTTGTTCACTCCTCTCCTGTATAAAGGAAGCAGAGAAAAGGCCACGATGACCTCATATAATCCTCAGGCTTAGTTCTGAACTTTTTCATGGAAGAAACTGGGGAGCAATAAAATGAATCAGCCCACAAGTGCCTAATCACAAAATACATCCTTTTTATAAGAAGCAAATCATACTTGCGTAAGATTCTTTGTTCTTCCCATTGTTTCTGCTTTATTAGTTTCTTTCGCTGTCTTTTTGACATAGTTTCAATGTTCTCCATCTTTTCCACTGGCAATTCTGTAATTTCTACCTTATCAATGTTGCACTTCACTTTTTCCTCTGTATCAGTAACATTGGTTGTTTTAAAGTTTTCTGGTGGCATTCCTGAAGACATGAGCTTCAAAAAAAAAAAAGAAATTGATTTTTAGAAAACTTAATTCAAACAGAATATATATTATTTAAAAACCGTGCCTTAAACGTATTTTAAAAATTCTTGTCTAAGGCAGTTGAATATAAGGATTTCTGCCTAATATACAAATTATGAAGGACAAAAAAATCCTTATTTCATAATTTGTATTAAAATGCATAAACACTTAAAATGCTAATAAGCAAGAACCAGTACAAATTCAAGACATTTGTGATTGAAATAAACGGCCCAAGGCGGACATAGTATTTTGGGGATTGTAATAAAACAGGAATATTCACAGATATTAGTTACCCTGATATATCATACATTCTATTTTGCAACCATATAATAGCCATTGTATTATTTTCAGTTTAAAAATTATCTGGATTACATCTCCATTTTATTACATTTATTAGAGAAATCACAAACCATTTGATGAAATATCAGTAAAGAAAATAATAGCGAAGAGTTTATATGGCTGCAAAATATAGCCTTGACACTTTATAATAAACTCAATGAAATGAAAAAATCCCCAAATCTTAAAAAAAAAACAAATCTGCACAAAGCCTTAGAAAAAGGTACTTAGCAACATTGAAAAATGCAACAGAATTACCTCTCCTGGATGGCTACACAGGCATGCCAACAACCAGGGGCAGCTTTCAAAGATGGTATGCAAAGCTATGCTGCATTCTGCAAAGAACCTCTTTTAAATGCTTTGTGTCAAACTGACAATAATGCCCATGGTTTATTCCATTGCTTTAAGGGAATATATTTTCTTGAAACAATTTAAATTGCAAGAAACCATGACTTTCAATTTGTCCAGCAGTGTCTGAGAGTCAATCTTGTAGGTCTAACATAAGCATCATGCCCCACCCTTCTACGTTGGGAGGGGGGAGGGAAAGGGAGGAAGAGAGAGAATGGTAAAATGTGATAAAATATCAGTTATGTCATTTAAACAAAAGCAACGGCAGCCTAAGGGTGTTCATAATTTTATCCTTTTTTATTAGGAAGTCTGGGTCTTCTAATATATTGAAGAGATGAAGTTGGAAGGGCAAGATGCTTTAAGTCCCTTTGTTTCCTTTTCAAATTGTGAGTGTTACCCATTGAACTCTGGAAGTTTCAATACTTTTTAATGGTCAAAGTCAGGATGCCTGATGCCTTGTAGGATCCATAGAAATTAATCTGAGTTGTGAATGTCAAAAGACATGCCCAGGCTCCACTCCTATGTGGGTTATTATTGAATTAGACCTGAAGAAAGGGATGGAAACCCTCAAAAGACTAAAATAGTCAAGAGAGACAGAAATGAAGATGCCCTGGTTCTATTAATTTAAATATTGGTTTCAAAACATGCTTTCATGTAATTATGTCCCGATTATTATTCTGAAAAACAAATCAACAGTAATGGTTCATAAAGCGATATAAATTACATTGACATAAAAAGGGAGAATTGCATGGATAAGGAGAGACCAGAATAATTTAGAGATGCATTTTTTGTTGGAATAAAAGTCCCAGAATTCTGAGTCAGAAATGTCGGTTCAACAAATTCGGAAACCACCAACTTGGAAGAGGACTTTTCAGCTACTTTTTTTTTTTTTTTTTTGCAAACTAGAATAGAATAACACAGTTGGAAGGGACCTTGGAGGTCTTCTAGTCCAACCCCCTGCCTAGGCAGGAAACCTTACACCACTTCAGACAAATGGTTATCCAATCTCTTTTTAAAAACTTCCAGTGTTGGAGCATTTACAACTTCTGGAAGCAAGTTGTTCCAGTGATTAATTGTTCTCACTGTTAAGAAATTTCTCCTTAGTTCTAAGTTGCTTCTCTCCTTGTTTTGTTTCCACCCATTGCTTCTTGTCCTGCTCTCAGGTGCTTTGGATAATAGCTTGACTCCCTCTTCTTTGGGGCAGCCCCTGAGATATTGGAACTATGTTTTTGCTTTCCACCCTGGGCTGATCTCAATGCTCTTTATTCGGATTTTATCGGCCCCACTGTTTCCTAAGAGAATATAGGCGCCTTTCAGCTCAAGCTTTCTCGCATCTGAGCGTGCACATTTTGCCCAGGGAGCCTCGTCACGCCACAGAAGGGACCGTGCCTGAGGTGACAGAAGAAGGCGCCTCTTTTGCCTCTCAGTTAACTCGAGCGGCTTTTTCCTTCTTTTAGGTCCTTCGTAACGGAGGCTTAATGCATTTCTAACGGACTTGCTCCTTAGCGGATCAGCCTTCAGTCCCCTCTGGGAGAAGAAGGAGCTGAGAGATTCAACCTGGCCCTGTACGGGATCTTCGGAAGCAGGGCGGGACTACAACTCCCGTCGTGCCCCAGCCAACATGGCTGCCAAGTAGCGCTAAGCTGGGCAAAATCGGGCTCGACTGCTGAAACCGTTGGGGAGGAAAGCTGAGGAGAAACGCGACTTCCCCACCGACCGAGCTAGGAGGAAGGGTGTTTTCTCTCTCTCTCTCTTACCTCGCAGCCCAGCGCACGAACCGGGAGCAATGGCCACCGCCGAAGGACCCAGGAAGCCGGGCTAGCCCTTCCCTTCGCACGCGCCGCTGACGCCCGAGACCGCAGTGGCAGTCCTCGACGCGGACTAATGACGCAATATCTCAGTCTCGTGACTTAGTATAGGCGGGGTTATGGCGGGAAAGCTCCTCCCCGATTCGCTTTTGGGTTTAGAATATTGTATTTTGTCATTTGGGACGGTGTTAAATCATTGTTATTTTTATTTTTTTAAAAAGACCATAGTGCCTTTTAAATTGTATTGACCTGCAAACGTTTATCCGCGGGAGCTGAAGAAGTATTTCGCAGCTGGTTCAATAATCCAGATGTGATTTTAAGCCAGCTGGGGAATTTTGGGAGTTGAAGTCCACCAGGCTTCAAGTTGCCAAGGTTGGAGACCCCTGATTTGGTGCACGTGCTTTTGATGTACATAGTTGATAGACACTCATGGACAATAGATAGTTGAGTGGATTTCAAAAATGCCTTCTGGCTTTTGAATCTGCAGCATTAATGTATGATTAGAAAGCATACCTTGCACAAGATACCTTCCCCATTTGAATATTTTCAACTAAGAGTATTTAGCTTATTTCATAGGTTGCAGAAGCGGATTGAAAATGAAAATTAATGGAGGGTGGAGCTGGCGTCGCGACGATACGGCATGCGATCTTGGAGGTCTGAGATCGCTGCCGATACCTTTGCTCCTGGACGGTCCTATCGGATCTAAACCGTCCCGAAGAGACGGTGAAAGTGAAGAGCGCATCCTGTCGATCCCAGGGATACTGCAAAGTCCCTGGTAGATCCAGGAGAAGCTCTTTTTGCCAGCGGCAAAGAGGCAGCCATTAAAGCTGCTGAAGTTGATCCCCCGACAAGAATAGCAAGAATGTTCAAGAATAAATCCGAAAAATGTTGGAAATGTCATCAGATACCTGGTTCATATTACCATATGTGGTGGACTTGTGAGGACGCTAGAAAATATTGGACTAAAATTCGCATGTGGTTGGAAAAAATGACAAAGAAACACATAGACTTGAAACCAGAGATTTTTTTATTGGGAATTTTACCTGACACATATAGTAAAGATTTGAAATACCTGATTGTAAATGTATTAACAGCGGCTAGGATTGTATTTGCTAAAAATTGGAAAAATGAGAAAATACCATCGCAGGAGGAAATTATTAAGAAAATATTGGAATGTGCTGAAATGAGAAGATTGACATTTGAAATTAGAGAACAAGAGGATAAACAATTTTATAAAATTTGGGACCTTTTCTATCAATGGTTAGATCAGGGGTGGGCAAACTACGGCCCACGGGCCACATCCGGCCCGTTGGTCTGTCCAATCCGGCCCGCCCCTGAAAAAAAATTGCTGGGCGTGGCGTATTGCCCTGTGCCGCGTAGCCCCCAAAGCTGCAAAACAGTGCGGAGCTCTCTCGGGGTAGGAAAGAAAAGAACTTTGCAAAGGCCTCGGCTGGGAGTTCGAAATCACCTTCGAGTGCAACCTCTCCAAAGGTGAGTCCCCGCCGATCCCCCCTTTTTTTCCGGGGCTTCCAGGCTTAAACTTTGCAAAGGCAAAGTTTGCAGGCTGGAGCGTCTTCCCGCCGAGGAGCGGGAAGGGTTCCGCCCGGTGGGCAGGCGGGCTGCTTAAACTTTGCTCAGGCGGCACTTTAAAAGCCTGCTCCCAGCACCCGAGCAACTTCCCAGCAACTTTCGCCTTCCTTTTTCCTCACGGGCGCTCGTGCCTGGCCCCGAGCCACACGGCACAGGGGAAGCCCGGCGGGCGGGCTGCTTGGAGGAGGCTCCAGGCTTCCCCTCCGCCAGGCGCGAGTGCCTGCGAGTTAAAAGGAAGCTGAAAGTTGCTGGGAAGTTGCTCGGGTTTCCGGGGCTTCCAGGCTTAAACTTTTCAAAGGCAAAGTTTGCAGGCTGGAGCGTCTTCCCGCCGAGGAGCGGGAAGGGTTCCGCCCGGCGGGCGGGCTGCTTAAACTTTGCTCGGGCAGCACTTTAAAAGCCTGCTCCCAGCACCCGAGCAACTTCCGAGCAACTTTCGGGTTCCTTTGAACTCGCGGGCGCTCGCACCTGGCCCCGAGCCGCACGGCGGAGGAGAAGCCCGGTGGGCGGGCGGGCTGCTTGGAGGAGGCGACCCGGCGGTGCTCCGGCAGCAGCAACAGGCAGTTCCGCCCGGGCTCCGCTCAGGTGTCTGGCTGGGGCTGTCAGGAGTTGCTACCGCCGGCGCGGCTCCGTGCGGCTCCAGTCCCGCATTGCCTTGGAAAGGAAAAGGCAAAACCAGGAGCCGCTGAGCCTGAACCTCCGGTGCCACTGCTCCCGTTGCAAAGCACCGCCGAGACTCTTCCTTTTTGCCTTTCCCTTCCCAAGGCAACGCGGGACTGGAGCCGCGCGGAGCCGCGCCGGCGGTAGCAACTCCTGACTCAGGGGGCCTCCGAGGGGAGGGGAAGGAGAAAAGGGTGGGGGGGGCGATTCCCAAAAAATCTTGTGCTGACCCGGCCCGTCTGTCAAATTTTAAAAGTCAATGCGGCCCCCGAGCCAAAAAGTTTGCCCACTCCTGGGTTAGATGATAAAATACAATAATAGAATATCTAGAATTTTAAAAAATAATATATAAAGATATATTTCTTTTTATATATATATATATATATCTATAAAATGTTTGTAGGATAGATTTGGTAGGATTATATGAATTGTTATAAAATAAACTAAGTAAATTATAGTTATCTCGCAAAGTATGAATGAATAAAATTATAGTCAAATTATTGTTTAATAGTGATACTAGGGTATTTAATTTTTGATTGATAATATGAGTTATCATGCAATGTAACTGTAATTGAGACTACGAAATGGATGCACAAAAAATTGGTAAACCAACCGACACACTGCTTGTATATTTATGAAAGATGTTTTTTATGTTTTGTTTGTTTTTGTTTGTCTTTAAAAACCAATAAAATTACTTTCAAAAAAAAAAAAAAGCTGCTGAAGTTGGGACAGCTCTGATATGAAAGAGAACAGAAAGAGAGAGAGTGCCAGTTTGGTGAGAACTTTTTCTTTATTCTAAGATCTGAAAGGACACCCTAAGGAAAAGAAAGAATCTGTAAAAATTTTGACAGAAGTGATTAAGCGGCGATTTTAAACAGGAATGTCAAAGTAATGTGTTTTTTTTTCATTGCTGGATTTTTTATACATGATCTTATATTTTGAAACTGGACTGGTTTTTTCTTTTCCATCTATTTTTTTCCTCCTTTTTGATTTTGTAACATTTTAGGCTAGAGACTCCCTTTTAGTTATTTCTTTTTTTAAAATATCTTTTTCTTTTTTTTAAAATTAATTCTTATTTTATTTTGCTTGGAAAAGGAGGGGGAAAGTGCAAGCAAAGAAACTTTGTAACACTGCCAACTAGAGGCTTGGAAATATTCTATTTCTCCTGTGACCAGACATAGCTGAGAAAGAAAGAATTGAGACTTTTTTTTAAGGACATTGCTATTTGATAAGATAGAGGGAAGAGCATGGGAGAGTATTATTGCAGGTGCTCTTCTGGGTTTCTATCAACAGCTGGAGTCTGGTGTTGAAACTTAGGGGGGGGAAAGGTGATAAGTTTTTGGAGAAGAGAGTTATAATAAGAGCCTTGGATAATTAAACAAAGTGCAGTGTGCTCTTTTTACTTTTTCTAAGTTGTGCTATCCCTCCTTACCAGCTTTATTTTATTTCATTTCATTTTATCTTTTTTTTGCAATAGCTATTTGGATCTTTGGCTTTGTTGGAGCTTGTCTTTTTTTTTCTTTTTTTTTTCTTTGGAAGTCCAATCTCTACGCTTGCTTTTTATTTTAAAGGGAAAGCTTTAGTATTAATGTTTCCTTTTTTTTAAGGGAATAGCCTTTTTCTCTCCTTTCCTGGTATTTTTGTTTTTTCATCTACCTTTCTGGTTTATTTTTATGCACTCTTTTCTATTTGAGACCTCTCAATTGGATTAAGGTGTTGAAGAACCTGAAGAATTTTTCCTTTTCTTTTTTCCCCCCAAGCCTTTTTCTTCATCTAACTACTGATTGGATTAAGGTATACAAGAACCTGAAGAAATTTTGTCCCACTTCCGGTTTGAGCTTCTTCAGCGACAGACCAAAACCTCGTCTCTGCGAGGCTTCAATCCGTGCTCGCCGCTGGAGCGCCCCGACCCGGCTGGTTTCGGGGCTAAGCCACCCCGTAGAGGTGAAGAGGGGGGAGACTGCCAGCAGGGTTGAGGAGAGCCACATCTCTCCTCCCCAGCTGGCCATTATTCCCTTTCCCGAAGGCGGTTGCAGCGGTGGTCAGAAATGGCCACCACAAAGAAGAACTCGACCGGAAAAGAATGTGCAGGAGGAAGATAAGAGAAAGTTTTGGTTGACCGGGTCAAACAGCAAAAGCAACAAATAAGGTACCCTGGAATTGAAACTGTTAAAAAACAATAACATTGTTCCCTAAGAAGATTTTTAAGCTGTGAAGAAGAGGGAAAAGGGAAAAGATTTGGTTTTCTCCTTTTCCTATACTGACAGCTAAGAGACTTAAGCAAGAAATTGGAAAAAAATCCACTTTGACATCAACAGGCATTTAATGCTGAAAATAAAAAGTCAAAGGGGTAATAAAGATTTCTGGATAATTAAAAGCTTTTGAAAACAGGAAAGGAGAGAGGAAGAATAAAAGGGCAGGATCTGGAAGGGAGGAGACTGCCTGGAATTAAAAAAGAACTTACAGCAAAATCTCAACAAGACTTCCAAAAGATACATTCTAACTGAAATATCGCAACAAAAAACCCAGGAAGAGAAAGTCGAAAAAGAAATAAGAAGATATAAAAGTATAGTCAAATGATTGATTAATAATGGTACTAAGGTATTTAATTTTTGATTGAAAATACGAGATTATATGCAATGTAATTGTAATCGAAGACTACGAAATGGAAGCACAAAACAATTTGTAAACCAACCGGCACACTGTATGTATACATATGGAAGATGGCTTGATGTTGTTATGTTCTGTTTGTTTATGTTTGTTTTTAAAAACCAATAAAAACTTTAAAAAAAAAGAAAATGAAAATTAATATAAAATACACCTTCATAGAGAACATTGCTATATAGCAAGCTGATATATGGATAGGTTTCTTACAGAACTCAGCATGACACATCACATTTTTAATCATTGGATCTTTGGGGACTGATGGATATATTGTAAAAAGATAAATTGCAATTGCCAGATTACTACAAATAGTCATGACAGTTTACTGAACATTGCAGTCAAAAGGATGCATCTTAAATTGGATTCATCAATGGCCTGTGGGCATGCAGAGGCCTCAGTCCCAAAACACGTGAGCTCTGATTTTTAGTGGGTGACTGGTGAGAATGCTAATGCTGCTATTTATAGCAGGAAATTAAACAACGTGGTTTCTGCCATTGAACAGCAATGATTGGCAGAGAGTCACTGGGATGGAAGCAAAAGGGCAAAGAAGAGAAAAGCGTGAGTGTATGTTTGAAAAAGTCCATGCCTGTTTGCATGTCCATAGTGATATGTTCCTGACAAAAATATTACCCACATTCTTATTACTGTAATGCATAGTAATTTTGTCTTCTGCACTAGCTTTTTTCTTGCTTGGCTGGAAAGTAATTGCCAAACTGTTTTGTATTGATGGTAGTATATACAGGACAAGTTTATAAATCACATTTCCCCCACTAAGCATTCAAATGAGGCTTGTGAAAAGAGCAGAATAAGACATGTTCTTTTTTAAAAAATCAGTTTGATCAAAGAAACTAATTATCTTCATTACATGATAATGGAAGGAGTTTTATGGCTTGGACTCTGGAAATTTATGACGGCGATAGGACTTTAACCCTGGAATGCTGGCCAGCAAGACTAAAATGAAATATATTGAAAGGAAATGCTTGTTTAGGTCAACGAGAACAGTACCATTTGTATGAATAGCAACACTAGAAATAAGAATCTGTTTGTTTTCAAAAGGCACTTTGATGTTCCCTGGAATAATGCATTCTAATTTACTTTTCAATTAATGGAAGCTACAAGGTCTTCCAACTCAGAACTAAATTAGACGTGTTCTATTAAATCTAAAAATGGCATTTTTAATGCCTCTGGATATGAGTTGTTAGAAACAATTGGATGGGGAAACAGTTCCCCCAACCCTACCCCCCCCCCCCCCAATATCATATTCTGAATTTTCTTCTAGCTATTGATCAATGTGGAAAACCTGATTGTGGACTAGAAAGGGTTTCGGCTTGAGCAATGCTGGATCAAACCAGACGCTTTTCTACTTCAGAAGGTAGCTTTACTTGGAAGAATTTACATTCTGTGACAATATCACCAACACCTGCCCATACATCAACATCTGCCTATCCCAGGTCCTTGGGAAGGACTCGATGGGTGGATAAAAATGTCAGATCCAATCTGAATATCCGGCTGACTGTGCGATGAACCATAGTACAGATAGTCCTCAACTTGCAACCATTTGTTTAGTGATCAAAGTTACAACGAAGTTACAAAAGTGACTTATGAATGTTTTTCATACATCCCCATTATCGTGTGATTAAAATTAGGATGATTGGCAACTTATTCATATTTATGATGGTTGCAATGTCCCGGGGTCACGTGATCATCTTTTGCGACTTTCTGACAAGCAAAGACACTGGGGACGCCAGATTCGCTTTACATCTGCAGTACTAACTGAACAACTGCAGTGATTCACTTAACAATTGTGGCAAGAAATGTTGTAAAATGGAGCAAAACTCACAACTGTCTTGCAATAAAAATTCAGGGCTCAATTGTGATAGTAAATCCTAAATTCTTGAGAAGAACTCAGTGCCAACACCAGTTAAAAAAATGGGCAGCTGTGAGTTCACATTGTTGTGAACAAATAATAATAAGGCAGTTTTACTTGGAATAGCCTTACATCCTGCTACAATACCTTTAATACCACCAAACAACGTCTGCCTGTCCCAGGTCCTTGGGAAAGACTTAACAGCTGGATAAAAATGCCAAATCCAGTCTAAACATCTGACTGATAAAGTGACCAACCATAATGATAAAATGTTTATGCTTCCTGACTCATAGCAACTCTGTGCAGTTGGTTAGAATTAAACAGAGAGTGTATTCTGACTATAATTTGGTTCCAGGAATTCTGCAAACAAGTAAAAACAAGTTTTTCAAAGTGTCTGTATCCTGTTAAAAATTAGGAATAAGTAGCATGATAAAAGCATTTAGGGCAAAAACAGGAAGGACAAAGTATGTTTTAAAGTTCTTAAAGACATAATGCCACACAGCGCAAAGATTTAAAAGAGTAATTTTTCATGAGATTTATCAATCATGTCTTCTGCAATAATTCCCACTGCATTTACAAAGTTTAAAGGAAGTTGGGCAAATGTACAAATATTACACTGGCTAACATTTGTACATCTTTTAGCATATAATAATGAAAGCTTAAGAAAAGTATAAAATATTTAAACACACATTATCTCACTTTTCAATAATTAACTAGAAAACCCTTCAATGGACTTAGTACCCAAGTGTGGAATTTGGAATCTGACTCTTACTACATCTAGATAAACACCATTGTGGCAGATAGAAGACTTCTTTGTAGATTTCATTTCAATCAGAGCAGTTCACAATTTCCTTACATTATTTCCAATATGATAATTTGTACCTTATGTGAGCCAGCCATGGTTCTTCTTACTGTGCTTTTCCCATGCATCATTTCCACATATTCAGCATCAGTCAAAGGTAAGTTGCTTTAATCTTTTGATTTGCATTAATAGATGTGTATCTGCCTTTTAATAAGAGAAATGAAGGTACATTGTAGATTTTGCTTATGTGGATCTCTTATATCTAGATCATTTTGAATTAACTGGGAGGTGGGGGTTGAGATGGGGGAGATTATGTTAAATGGATTGCTTTGTGAGCCATCAATAGTTTGCAGCAAGTTAGGTCTTTCTTCTTATGAAATCTGGATTTCTGCTTTAACACTGAAACTATTCACAGGAATCTACTTTAGAAAGGTTTAAGAAAATAGTTTTTCTAATCCAGGCCAGATCTTTTAAACCAATGGGAATTATTTCTGAACAGTTTTCACTGTCAGTTATTAACATCTTGTGTAGTCATGACCAATAGTTGACATATATTTGCTTTTCAGGGCATCAAATATTTGTTAGTTTTGCAAAAATTGGCTGAGGATGCCATTATCTGAATAAAGTGCCACTTACTATAGGTTTTGTGTGAATTAACTGTATGTACATTTGCATGTGCACATTTAAACAATATTGTAAATATATGGTAATATATCTCATCAAAGACTTCACCTGCTATCCAGCAATTTTTTTCAATCTATTCTCCTTCTCATCTGTCGTCTTATATTTTTTACATACTGGACTGAAGTAATTCAAAATTAGAATATAATGCCAAGGTAGTTTTTCCAATAGAGATCTGTTTGATCTAAGGTATAACAACTATGTATAGCAACATAGTTGTTTAGCAAAGTGCATTGCTAAAAGTGCATTCTTTAACTTTCCATGCTCTTAAGTATCTTGGAATGTCCTGTTAAAACAATGACAGATAATCTGCTTTTAAAATGGTAAACCATAAACTGGTTAGATACCGAGTCTATCAATGAGAAAGAAAGGTAGCTAGCTATATTTGGAAGGAAGGGGTAATCAAGCCCATCAGTCTACATGATTGTAAGATAAACAGCTGCATAATGCAAGAGATGAAGATAGAATTTCTAGGTTTCAAGATGTATGTCTTTATAAACAGAACTATGTTCCTTTGACTTTGGAAGTAGGATCTTTAGCAGGCATTAACTACAAAATTTCCAAGAGATTTAAAAATATATGCTATGGAAAGCCAATTTATAGGACTGCCTCTGTTCAGTGATCAGAATGTAAATGAACTTGGCTGATAATTTAAATAGAGTAGAAGAAATGATTGAATGTTTCATTCCAACTACTTTATTACAATCTGTGTGACAAGAGGTGATGGTTATATATTCCATTGAGATGCAAATACAGAAGAAACCACAAGCAAGAAATTGTCTAGCTTACCCTGTGCAGGGATTATACCAAGGGACTACATACTTACAGTTCATTTGGCAGAGTTTTTTCATAGTTTTTTTCAAAGTTGCTTTACAAAAATATAGGGGATATCTCGCAGTACCCCCTTGGCCACATTTGCAAGAGGTTTTGAGGACAAGGCTTTTCATAATAACTGGGTATTATAATGAAAGTAGACTAGTCAATTTTGAAAATCCAGAGCACTCTATATTTTTTATTTTTATATTTTATTTAATCACATTGTCATGTAATTGATTAAATTTTAGGCCTAAGGGTGGGTGTGGACAAGAAGGTATGTCATTAAACACAGTGTCTCCTTGCTTATTACACCCAGCAAGGAATAATAGGTAGAGTCTTGCAGGTGGTATAGTCCTCAATGACAAAGATTTAGTTCCAGTTCATTAAAAGAGGTGATAAGGAAGGTATATTGAACTATGATCTGAGCAAGGAGGTCAGGTAACTTGGCTGCTAACCAAGTGTGGGCACTCTCAGGTAAAATGCATTTTCTAGATCACTTTTGAATGGAGTTTGGCACCTGCTTGCAAGGAAACCTGCAGGGAGAGATATGAGAGGGTACTTTGACATCCTCATTGCTTTTTAAACAACGTTTAGGTCCAATTGAAGGTGCTGGCATAGTATATCAGGAAACAAATGGAAACAGTGGGCAATATATTTGGGAAGTTGAGTACCCCACCTTTAAATTACAGTATGCCTAGCTTACTTGCTTCAAAATGTGATCAGCAAACCCTGCTCTGTCCATCCTTTTCACTCAACTGAGTGACAACTGAGCTTTCTGCCTAAGTCTTAAAGTTCAGTCCTTTCAAAACCTTTCATAGTGTGAGGATTTACTGAAGAATTGCTTCTGGATACATGCGCCAACTCAAATGCTGGCATAATCTTCCATTGACCTTTTCTGACTGCCCCTGCTGAGTGACAGCAAGGTGAGGGGCTTCTTGCTGTGGATGTCCTCTCCAAAAACTTCCTAATTGATTTTAAAAATTTTCCTAAAGCCAATTTATCTTGGACCTTGCTTCAATGGTATGCCTAGTTGTCTCTGTTTTTAAACCTGGTTGCTTCTCTCTTATTTGTCTTATGTTTATTTTGACATATGGTTGGTTATATATTTCTTGACGTGGTTGCATTTTAATGTCCTTTTGTTGAAACATGGCTTTTTGTTTTATTCTATCCTACATATTTCTGGGCAAATGTATTTCAACGCATAGTTAGAAATCATCTGAATAATTAAAAAAATTAGGAGGAAAATGCAATTTATATAACTTTAGTGAGGAATGGATAGTGGCTCTTATGGGGTGGGAAGTAAAAAAAAAAGTGTCCATGGCTGAAGCCCTGAGCCTTTTTTTTTTTTTTTTGCATATTAAAAAGGTTGGGGATTCATTTGTGCCCTCATAACTGCCATATGCCCCTGGAAATGAATTCTGTTCAGCCTGTACTGATAGACTAAATTCCTATTGAAGGCAATTTTGAAAATGTGTCGTATTTCATTCATGCTAGTAAAAAAATAAAGAATTATGAATAATACACTGAAAAAACTCCCACATTTTTTTTTGAGTTTCTGTTGGAGCCATTCGTTGCTTACAGTGGGAGGAAAAGTGTAAGCTATCACACTCTAAGGAACATATTCCTTAGTTTCCTGCCCCAGAGGAGAAGTGTAGGATGGCCTTTTGCTTTTCCAAGAAGTACCTTTCTGTCAGTGTGTTTTTCTTGGAGTTGGAGACAGCCCAATTTAAACTTAAACAAATACAAGACAAGCAGTGATGCTAAAATAGAAGCCAGTGTCTGGAGAACAGATCGTCTAGTCACAGAGTACCCCAGAGTAATGAAATGCTATTATTGTGCTTTAGATTTAGGATGGACAACTTTGGGAAAAATAATGTGTTCACTGAGTAGAACTGGTTGCGATACGAGGTTTTCAAACTTTTTTTTTTGCTTTTTTGTTTTGAAGCAAAATAAAGTGCTTTCTGTTCCATTGAAATAACAGAATAACAGAGCTGGAAGAGACCTTGTAGGTCATCTAGTCCAACCCCCCCCCCCCCACCCAAGCAAGAGACCCTACACCATTTCTTATTTTTAATATTTTAACACATCTACTTTCTTTAGTTTTTGGCCAAAAGTGGACAGGAAAATATGTGAGATACACACACACAAATTTCTGACTTACTTTCCTGTACATGTCTATACTGTCCTGTGTGTGTGTGTTTGTGTGTGTGTGTGTGTGTATACATATACTGTACATACATACACACGTGTGTGTGTATACACACACATGATTATATATATGCACATATCTGTATATGTGTGTGTATACACACACATGACTGTATAGACATGTACAAGAATATATGTATGTATGTATGTATGTATGTATGTATGTATGTATGTATGTATGTATGTATATATATATATATATATATATATCTCTCACAGAAATTACTAATATCCTATCCTGCTATTTAGGGTAATTTGTACATTAGCCAAGGGAAGTGCAGAAAAGCTAAAGGGCAAATAGCAGGTGGGAAAGTGGATTTTGAGTGGCAAATTGACATGGGCTCTGATCCAAATCTGGATTACAGCAGCAGTTTGGGGTTCTAAACTGCCGCTTTCCTTTTTAAAGAACAGTAGCAGTGTTAAGCATTTTCAAAAATGTCATACTGTTTAATTCAACAATATGCAATTATATGGAAGCATGAAGCAGTCTCCATTTTTTCCCTATTAATCTGCATTGAATGGTACTCCCTTAATTATATTTGTATTATCTTTGCAATTATAACATCAGTTGTTACAGTTACGACCTTTGGACTATAGCAGGACTTAAAATATGTCTTCATGGAAGATTTTTTTAAAGACTCTGTGATCTGATAACGATAAATGTGGAACATTAAATTAACCTGAGTATATAGATACCTAATGTTGCCTTCATTCCATTTTAGTAATTTATTATAAAAGAATATGTTTGTGCATTAGGATCAGATAATTGGGCAAACGTGAACTCAAATTTATCATGGCCACTTGGTATTATAAGATGGAATGCTTTCTATGACAATATTAGAGTTGTGTTAAATTTATTTTGTTTGTTTTGATATTTTGTTGCAACTTCCTAGAATCACAATCGAAACAACACAGATGCTTTTGTAATAAAAAAGATTTTAATTGTCATATTTTTGATTGCTTATGTATGTAAAATATTTCTATATTAAAAGTATATTTCTTTATAAATGTATAATACTTTTCAGAGGGATTCAGTGAGATTACAGCAGAAAATACAGCTGTAATGCTATAGCTTAGTATTTTCTCCAAACTGCTTGCTGTAAGACACAGCAAGTGTAAACTTAGAGCCAGCTAATGGTTAAAACTGCATGTGTTGTCTATGCCAGGAGAACTAATAAAAGGTACAGTCCCTGACAGCTGTCTCAGCTCAGGCAGCATAGCTTTCTCTATTATACAGCACCATGAGTTAATTATAGAAAGTTGTAATGACAGACACTAAAATAGTTATTCAAGTTGCATGTACTCATTTCTCTCTGCAACATGTTTAGATAACAGTGGCACTCTCTGCTTTATGTGAGAATCTCAACATACTACATTAAAATGTATATCTAGTACTACCATGTTTCTCCAACAATACGGCCTCCACCAATAGGAAGGCCCAGCATGATTTCTAGGCATGAGGTGAAATTAAGCCCCACCCCAAAAATTTAGGCCTATTTAAACCATGCTTTTCCCGCCATTTCTCACATCGTTCGTTAGAACTACACGAGGTGAAGAGAAATGGGCGGGGGAAGGGCAGGGGGGATGGGGAGAAAACTTGCCTTTAGGAGTGCCCTGCAGGTAGCCTAGGCTAGAATACCCCGATAGCCGATAGAAGCTCCCTGAAAGCAGAGTCCCCAGCCGCTTCAGGGCGTGGAGTGGCTACCCGTGTCCCCTCGCCTTTAGGGCAGTCTCTTTCGGGCGATGGAAGCTCCCCAAATGCAGTCACCAGCCACTTCGATCAGCCGGTAGATGAGGCCTCGACGTGAGGGCACGGGGAGTGTGTGTGCGCTTGCCCCGAGGCCGCTTCTACCGGCCGATCGAAGTGGCTGTTGACTGTATTTGGGAAGCTTCCATCGCCTGAAAGAGACTGCCTAAAGGCGAGGGGACATGGGCAGCTACGCCACGCCCTGAAGCGGCTGGGGACTCTGCCTTCAGGGAGCTTCTATCGGCTATCGGGGTATTCTAGCCTAGGCTACCTGCAGGGCACTCCTAAAGGCAAGTTTTCTCCCCATCCCCCCCCCCCCCGCCCTTCTCCCGCCCATTTCTCTTCACCTCGTGTAGTTCTAACGAACGATGTGAGAAATGGCGGGGAAACACATGATTTAAATAGGCCTAAATTTGGGGGGCGGGGCTTCATTTCACCTCATGCCTTGAAATCATGCTGGGCCTTCCTATTGGTGGAGGCCGTATTGTTGGAGAAACATGGTAGCGCCAGTCCCACTTTCCTAGGCATTTGGGGCAACTTGATGACATTGGTAATAGCTCTACAAAGAAAAAAAAGATATACCTCAAACTTTGTATTATAAACTTAGGTATTTGCTAGACCACCTGTGAACCCATGTATCATAGTTTCAGAGATACTTCCTTACCAGATTCCTCAGTGCTTTGAGATTCTAGTGTGTACTTGAAAAGTTCTGTAAAATTCAGGGAAATGTTCAGAGATCATGTCTGTCTTGAAAGGCGTCCATGTTGAACAGCATAGCACAGTCAAACATCAGGAGCTGACTACAGGAAATGTTCTATGACATTTAGTATTAGGTCATAAAATGATTTATGATAATGTTTAGGTCACAAAATGTTATATAAATGTGGCCAAATTTCAATTCAGCGGGAGTCATGGATCCTGGATTTTAGATGCATTCTGTAAACTAGCTCATTTGAGGCACCTTGATTCAAAATGTTTTGCCGTACAATGCATTGTTTTGTCAATTAAAGATTACAGATGAAAGTTTTAGTATATAGATAACAGCAAGCTATTGTGATAGCTGCTTAGCAATTGAACACATTCACAGAGGAAAAGTCAGTTTGCAGTTGTTAATTGTAACATGAAACTCCAGGTATAGAGAGGGCATATGTCATCACTGAATAACAGCTGCTGTGGTATCACAGGTGGGAAAAGCTATTGTCTTCACACCATTGATGGACTTCTTGATGCCCTGGTTCAGATGAAAAGCTTAGAGATATAGCATATTTGAGAGCCAGTTTTGTCTAATGGTTTAAGGCACCAGGCTAGAAACAAGAGACAGTGAGTTCAAGTCCCGCCTTAGCTATGAAAGCCAACTGAGGTGACTTTGAGCCAACCTATCTCTCTCAGCCCAACTCACCTCACAGGGTTGTTGTGGAGAAATTAAGAAGAAGAAGGTTTGTTGGTTCACTGCCTTGAATTACTTATGAAAACGATAAAGGCGGGATGTAAGCAAATGAATAAATATTAGACTAGAAGATAGGCTCCTGCATTCTTTCTTTGGTGGTATGTTGCTAAGCACAGGAACTGCTTTCTAATAAACTTTTCTGTAAGAAGAAGAAAATCAACATTATACAGGAAAAGGCAAGGGGAAAGTATGGTATTAATAAGTATGCTTCAAATAAGCAAATGGCCATTTGTTTTCTCCATCAATAGGAAAACTGTATGGCGATGGTGATTACTTGGAAGAAAGGCACAGGCACAGATTTGAGGTACGGCTACTTGTAGTAGAGAAAGGCAGGGGGAGGACCCCTTTTCTCCAAAGCCCAGTTTAACAAGATGTGGTGTAATCTTCTCTTCATAGGTAAACCCAGAGCTGAAAAACTCATTTGAGGAGAAAGGTATGAAGTTTGTGGGCCAGGATGTGGAAGGAGAGCGAATGGAAGTGGTTGAGTTGGAAGGTGAGCACTGATCTGTCACAAGAAGGTTGCTATGGTTAATTGAGGAAAAGTTTTAGGGGTTTCTCTTGAGATTTGTGGAAGTGATCTTTCCTTAGAT